ATACCAGAATTTCTTGTCGTGCGATCGAGTTTTTTATGTTAATAAATTTTAGCACATATTAACTTCCAGGAATTATCAGATTCTTGAATTAATTTTTATACGGCAAAAAAACTGTACTGTCAAAATATATCTTTCGGTTACTTTCATGATGCTGCGCCTTTTATTCTCTTCTGTGTGATGCTTAAATATATAAGAATTGAACCTTGCCGCGTGTCCATCCCATGGCGACACAACTTACTGCTCGCGGGGAACGTCTACTGAATATAAACAGAAGTTTTGCAGATCCAACTGGGAAGTATTAATCAAATCCGTAAAGTCTATCAAACGTTCCAGTTATAAAATATCGAAAAAGAAATTTGGAAACTAAAATTCAATAAAATTATAGTGGCAATTGAATTACATTGTATGATTATACTATATTACAACATCCCTTGTTGCTCGTTTTATTAGCATCTCAGCACCTTCTGGTTTCGTGTTACTTCTAAATAGAATTCAGTATACAATTTTGCTTTATATGTATATCGAATCCTATTATTATAATCAAAAATTTCGTTTGGTTTCACCAAAATTCGTTTAACCACATATGTCTCGTTGATACAATCAAGCCATTGTTCTCAGTGGCACGCACTCTCTTACGTAAGGATCTCGCGTTCATCACGTGTGCCGGCGATTACGTTATACCGGGCGGTCCGACAAAAGCCCTTCGTCAGGAAAGGAGCGCGCGCGGACACGTGCGCGCGGGGGTCCCCCGTGATCGCAGCCGTTGACTCTCGCGCCAAAAGCGGTTGCCTGTGCACGAGGGAGGCGCGTGACTCCGGCGTCACGGGACAATTCAGCTATATTGAAATGGAGACAAGCGGCGTGTAATCGCGCACGTGAAACGCACTAGAACAGGCGCGACCGCACAGGAATTCGTGCCTGCCCGCGCGCGCGTGCTTGTCGACGAGCGATTCGGCGTCTAATCGCGCGTATGAGTACGAACGAACGAATAATACTTTTCCCCGAGTAGCGGTTTGGGACACGTGGAGGGACACAAGAACGCAAATTCCGACCTGTGAATGTTTTTCGCGAGCTCGTCGAAGCGCGTCAGTATCAGTCATCATTTATTGATGTCTCGTCGCGATTGTACCCTCTGGCGATTCGATTGCGCGACAGAAGCTCGCGAGCTGTCGTTGTCTCTTTTCCCCTCTCTCCATTTTATTTACCGTAAATATAACGACACGCTTAAAAATAGTCCACTCTGTGGATGGACCTCGGAGGAGGTGGCACGCGCGTAAATCCGCTCTCGACGCGCTCTCATCGCAATAATTTCGCGGAAGAGAGTAAACGCCCGTGAATTTGTTGAATTTTCCGGCGTGTTTCATGGTCAACGCCATTCGCGTCGGTGCAATTCGACGCGGACGAGCCGTTACTATTTGATTTTCACGTTGAAAGTGTTCTTCGGTGATTTCAGAAATTACCTTGAAGGATGCGAAATTATTTTAAAGGCATCTTCGAGATGTATTCTCAGAATTTTACGCATTCGTCGACGAGCGAATTTTTACTCCGTGTGTTTCATCCTTTTGCCTCCGAATTTTCGGAGTGGAATTTGATATTTACGTTCGCTTTTATTTTAATTAATTTTATTTTACTGCGTATACTCGCAAAATTACGCTGAGGTATGCAAAGTATGTAAATATACAAAAGGTGAGGCACCAGCAATGCTGCTTTAAAGTCTACCGCAGAAAAAACAGTATAGTAATAGACTGAGATAATATGGTATGCGTAATTAAAGTTACAGTTAATATTAATGTTTTTGCTTAATGTAGCTACCTTTTTTGATACATTATTTTTTTTCTTATTTTTGTAACAATTTTTTATTATTGTTATTTATAGTTTTTATTATACGTTTAATATATATTGCTTTTGTTTTAATGTATGCTTTTATTTTGTTTTTACTTCTCGTCAGGCTTTAAGACTCATTTGCAGTCTCATTTTTTTAATGTACATCTTTCTCTTTTTTATGTTATTTGTACTAACAATTTTATTTGTTCACGCTACACTTTAATAAAGTATTATTATTATTAATTATATTTAATTAGTATACTGAAAATATTTTTAATACGCTTGCACGCAATCATCAATACTATCACTGCACTATCGCACTTATATTTGTTTCTTTAAATTTGCTCGATTGCGGCAACTTTACATTATGATTCATATATTTTCTATGTCGCATATGTTTTCTTTATTTGAACACGGCGTAGGTTCCGCAATTTAATTCCCGATAAGTAACGACTTTGATTCAGGCTCAGCGAAGAAATGACGTATGGCGAATGCAGGCTACAAGGCACCAATTATACGCTATAAACATTGCCATTATCCCGGTATAAGTGCTCCCACCTGGTCTCCGAACAATGTGGACCGGACGCGGGAGACCTTTGCGGGGTTCGTCTTGCCCAACTCGCGCGCGCCCGAGCGCACGCCGCGCGCCGCCGTCGCCGCCGCCGCTGCCGCCGGCCGGCCTATAGTCGAGGTGTCGTAACGCAACGTTAGCCGCAAACGAGCGAAATTATCGTTAACGATAAAACTACGCGACGGAAAATATTCGCTGCGGCGCGGCGGCGAGAGAAGCCTGCGATCTAAAATTAATTCTCATTATGTCCTACACTGTTAGCCGCGTAGCCGTGTAATCGCCGAGAAAATTCACCGCCCCATAAAACGCGGGAACATTTATATTCCCCGCGAAGTCTTCGAAGCGACGCGCTTGCGTCATCAAGCACGAGAGAGAGAGAGAGAGAGAGAGAGAGAGAGAGAGAGAGAGAGAGAAGGATAGACCGTAATGCTAATATAAACAGTTACTTTCCACGTCCTAGATTCGGCAAGTGGACGCGCGCGAGCGTAATTCTAACAATTCCCATTTTATCTAACGTAATTTGTTACCACGCTTTCCTTTTTCCGAACTCCTCTTCGAAGGCGATCGCGGCGATTAAGAGTGAGAGACGCGCCGTGAATCTGAGAAATTCGACTCACAGACGGGGAAGGCGAGGTGAGTCAGTTCGAGGAAAAGGAGAAAAGTCTATTATGTGTTTTGCAATTATACATAATTTCTTTATGCAATATATGTAATATCTTTATATAATCTTTTCATTTTTTATTCCTTGTTCAATGCAACATTTTTCTTCCATTCTTAATATAACTCTGTGTAACCATGTAATATTTTTTTTTTGCTAGCTCGTACCTCCTCGTGCCCGCTACTTTACATTGATAAATATTAATCCACGGAGATACATAATTTATTCATATTCACGGATATATTTATTCGATAGATATCGGTCTGTAAAGGCTCGCCGGCTCGCTTCGCGCGGTTAATGCGAGCGCGGCGTAGGTGATTGGCGAGCCTATTATGTCACAACTTCTCAGTTGCGGTGGCGAGATACAGAGAGTCGGGCCGTGAACCCAAGAACAGCGCCGGCGGCACGTTGCACAGGCGCACGTGACCGGTTCTCTCTCTCTCTCTCTCTCTCTCTCTCTCTTTCTCTCTCTCTTCACAGGTTTTCCCTGGCCGTCACTCGCCGCCTTCTCGCCAATCTCGCACCGGCTTTTCACAGCCCGGGATAAACGCGCGCTCTCTTCTCAGTCTCCTCGCGCGATAACTCCCGTGGGGTACGCACGCTGCACGCCCGTCGACTTGCTCTCGCGTCCCCAACCCCCCCGTATTATATTCCCGCCGCGTTTCTCGGGCCATCCCCCGCGGACGCCCGCGAGATCCCTGCTGTTTATCTCTCAGACGCGAAAAATAGCGATCCGTACGTTACCGTACCGTAAACGCACACGCTCGTCTAGAGTAACACGATCGGAGAGAGAGAGAGAGAGAGAGAGAGCAACGCGGAAGGATGATGTTACCCTTTTAACGCTCCGAGATATATTATATTTATTCTCTCGGATTATTACATAATCATTCGGCAGAGGGAGAGTATCACTCTCCGACGGAGAGAATAATTATTTTTATAATGCTGGACTTTTGTAACGCTTCTTCGCCGGCAGGCTCTTTAATTTCATTCTCTCCCCCCTCCCCTCCTCCGTCCGGTAATGTTAGACGATGCGCTTTTCATTTGGCGAGGTGTTATTTCCGCGCGTTAAAATATAGCCGAGGGCAAGTGTCTTGTGCCGCCTATATACGCTTCATTATTCGCGCGATAATTCGCCCGCGTGCACGAGCACCGTTACACGGCGTTGACAATCTTATCTAAATATTTGCATGTCATTGCGGGTTTCAGTCCTCCCCGTGTCCTCATCACACGCGCGCGCGCGTGTGTTTGTGTGCGCGGGACGAGCTAATCTCTTATTTCGATTTTATCTGCGTTACGTAATCGCATTCCAGCCGCGCGCCGCTTTCTGCGAACGTGTACACCCGTTACAGTCCCGGAGATCGGGCGCGAGAGAGGGCTCTAATTTAATTTACCCTCCCTCTCCCCTCTCGCTCCGACCGTATACACGGATCCCGTTGTGTCTGATTAACTTGCATTGTGACCGTTTTAATCGAGGCCCCCTCGCGCGTCTGAATGCCGTGCAGCCGAAATGAAGCATTGAAACTCCCGAAAGTATCCTCTCGAAAGGGGAAGAAAGTTTCAATTTTAGCGGGAGACGGGGAGGAAGAGAAGAAAGCTATATATATAAAATATTACAAGATAGAGTTCGTATTTCGATTAAAGACCTTCCGTAGCACATTCAATGCAAAAAAATACTTTCTTTATTGCCTATACATTTTTTTTTTTAAAGAAGCGCATGATGAATACACCTCGTTTAAGATGCGAAATGTCACTTCGCTAAAATGTTTCTCTTCTACCGGCACTCGCTTACATAAATCAGCAATTAGTTGTGAGTATAAGTGTAAATATAAGTTTTTTTTATCGATCAGTTTTACAAGTGAGCAAAGGTAGAATATGTTAAAATAAATGTGACCTATAAGATTTAATATTTATATAATATTAATATTTATATTATAATTATAAATATATATTATGTATATACATATATAGGTATTATATATTATATATACATAATTTAATATATACACTTAATATTTGACGAGAATTATCTCACGTATTGGCTTATTTTAACATATCATCTTTGCGCGTGGTATTACGATAGTTAATATACCTCATCGCAATCTCTTATAGAGCACGTGTAATGTATTAATTATTTATGGCAATATAAATAATTCATTGTATCAATTCGATTAGCATGTCATTTTATATTCCGATAAAATCCTGCAGTTAAGTTTTCGTGCAATCTGATTGGCGGCTATTCCCGCACTTGTTGCTGCAATCTTCGCCAGTGAAGTAAGAATCGCTTTCAGAACACTCGTACGAGGGCCACGATTTACGTTCTTAGAACACAAGAACAGATTTTTTTTTAATGATATATCTATATGAGTTAATATAATTATTCAGTTAATAATATTGTCTTAATAAAAAGTAAAATAATTAAAAGTAATACTTGATAATTAGTAATATAGTTAATGGTTATGTAATGTAGTAGTTAATCGAGTTTTGAGACATCGGAGAGTTGACATTGAACTCACGTCTAGCTTTTGGCAGTAAAAACAAAATAATTTAAATTTTTATCGCGTAATTAATAAAATTATATATGGAAAAATGGAAAACAAAAACAAATGGAGAAGAAAATATGTATTATTACGAGGAAAGTTATATGTATTGCGACTAGCTATTACCCATGAAAATTTGACCAATTCAAGATGATGTTTTTACGTACTTTTAGGATATGCTCCCGCTGTTTGCTTCGGGACCTTTTTACTTTTAACTGATTCGATATTGATTACTAAAGGCAGCTCCGACACTCTCGGGCTCGCCGCGGCCCTCGCTCTTTCAAATCTGTTCCTTAATTTTTTTTTCCTTGTAGTCACGCTCGTCTCGCAGCTATTCGACGAACAACCCGAATTGCACTCGCAGCTATTAGACGAATCGGGTAACCAGTTTTTCGTGACGGTTTCTATTTAAAACAGAATTTACGTGATGGAAGAAAATATATATAATAATTAATACCAATTAATACGTCAAAATAGATCAGCAATTTAAGATAAATTAATGAAAACAAATGAAATTTTGATTGAATCCCAAATTGAATATGCATAAAAATTCATGTCTGGTTTTTGGAAGTGAAGCAAGTGACAGTCGGAAATCCATCGAGTGAGAGCAATAAGCACAGTTTGAGTGTTATAATAAAAAAGAATGTGGATTTAAATTTGCAAAACCGGAATTTGTAACGTACCTGCAGAAACTTTTGCCGCTGTGTTCTTCGAAACTTTCTTACTGCGGAGCAATTTCACAGTCCTCGTTGCTTTCAGTTTTCTCGAATTCCTCGCCGATTTCTTCCTCTTGGTTTTTAGCATTCGGTCTTTGGTTGCACGTAACTCGAAGTCGCACTTTATGTAGTCCGACTTGCGATCGCAACTGCCGGAAGACTCGGGATAGCAGCTTTCCAAGGCATTTCCTGCTACAAATTCATGTAGAAGTAATTAATCTAGCCAATATTATAATTAAAGTGCAAAACTTGCCATTTTTACAAAGTGATTAGATGAGTTAATCTTGATCCGAATTAAATTAAATTAAACTAAATTAAATCTAGGCAATACTAACGTAATTAAATTCGTGTTCGGTTTTCGGTGGCAAAGCGAAGATCTATCGCATTAAAGTTATATAGCTATATAATCGCGGATGATGGATCATAATTAGCAAGTATTACAATTAAAAGTTTTGAATTTTTACGATGTGAGAAATAAATGCAACGTACTTTTAGGGAGTTTCGCCCTTTTCCTCCTCAAAACGTTCGCGGTGCTAAATGATTTCGCAGTTCTCCGACTTCTCTCGGACGCCTTCAACGGTCTCGTGGACCTTACATAGAGTTCCTTGCCTTTACTTTTCAACTTGCTTTTATTCTTAGTCGTATACGTGTAGAGCCCGTAGTCGCAGTCCGTGCAACCCGAGCTGCAGCCGCAATTGTCGGAGGAATACGGACAGTAGTCCTTCGAGAGTTCGCCTGTCGGAAACAAACGTAGCAAAGATTTGGAAAACGCGGAATTAACGAAATAATGTGCAAGGCAAATTAATCCGGCTCTCTGAGATCGGCCGATTCCGGACTCATTTGAACTTTCGGGGTCGAAATAAACAGTAAAAAAAAATCTATCGAGAAACTAAGAAAATTACAGTACAGATGATACGTGAGTGTGGCAATTGAAAACCGTAAGGAATTGAGGCTTCTCTAGATCGATGCGAAGTCGAAACGTACTCTTGGACTTAACCACGGCCTTCCTCGAGGCCTCGCTTCTAAGCGATTTCGCGTCCCTCTCCTGTGAAAAGATTTGCCCAATGAAATTGAGATGCTCCAACTGTTTCTTTTCTTCCCTGCGCTTTTTTTCCGATTAGCCCATGTGATGAACACGTTATCGAAATGAACCACGTAATCGCACTCCGTGCAGCCGTCGGCATCAGAAAAGCAGTGGCAACTTCGGCAACTTTCCATGAGAAACGCAGACGAGTTGGACGACGGTGAGGACGTGTAGGGCAGGGGCGAGGGACTCTTGGGCGAACTCCCGTCCTTTATTTTCTCGCGCTGCTGCGATTCCATCTTCGCGTTTGTCGGCTTCATCCTCCCGACGGAGCATCCCCGGCGACGAACCGCGCCGGATAAATTTTGCGATAATTTTTCGGACAATTTTCAATCCTCTGCGCTGCAGCTGCGAAGGGATGTTGCCTCGGAACAATTCTGCTGATAAAAAGGAGGAATTACATTTGTTGTTTATGTTCGCGCGGATTTCAAGTAACGCGACGTACAGAACAATTGTCGAGAGGAATCGAAAAGTCGTCGAGAAGCTATGAACTTTACCTGTGACTACACACACGAATAGTTTAAATATTTTCGATACTGATAATGTATATGCGTTTCAGTGGAAAAAAAACGTGTTTACTTTTAAAGAATGTCGGCGAATCAGTCGGTGAAAGAAATTTATACTTTAAATTAAACAAGATGTAACGTTCGTCGGACGTTACTTGGAATGACGAAGTAACTGTTAATCATTTAATAATGCGCTTCTTGCATATTAAAGAAAACGACAGAGATTGGTTTTATTAAAGATAATTTTAATAAATACGTACTTGAACCTTGAGCGAAGGTGTCTAAAAGTGATTTTAGAACACGAAGAGTAAGGTTGAGGTGAAGGAAACAAATGCGATTGTGCGCGTAAACAATATACACTTGTGCCTCGCGATGAGCGAGCTCTCTGAGATTTATCGATCCACAAACGCGTGTGGCACAATTTATCCGTAATATATCAGGCCTTTCGCGTTTTCACACGACACACAGTGGAGCTCCGTGACATGCGAGTAAATGTTATCGCGACTCGGAATCGAGCGAAGCGGAATGATTTAGACAGACGCTGCGCGGCGAAGAGACGAGACCGCTGGCACGGTAACAGACGATCGCGCAGTGACTCGGAGAGACTTCGAGCCCCCGTCTCTTACATGTGTTTGGCGTCCTCACCTTTCGACCTGGTATATTTACAGGGAATATGTATCGTGTGTCGTGACAGAAACTAATGGCAGTTCAGTTTCCCATTAAATTTTTGAAATTTGCATCTCGAGCTTTCGACGAATCTATGTGCGATTCGCGCCGGAATTCGAGAGATGTCATTCCGTTTATAATTTTACGTGCCACGTGACTCGCAAATTACACGACTAAAGAATCGGAATACCGTATTAAAAATTCGGACAACACAAAGTCCAAAATTGAAGAAATAAGATGTTTTAAAGACGTCTAACAGACGTCTTAAAGGCATCTTTGCAAGAAGCATCAAAAAGTCGTCTCGATTTTATAAACTTTGTGCAGCTGTCTGAGAACGCAAGGCGTGAAAAGTTTCAGATCCTGCGATCTGACGCGAATTTAAAGCGGCGTCTACAGTGAGACTTCAGATTTAAGAAAATTGACTAATCACAATCGATTATTCTTCTCACTTGAGATGAATAATCGACTGTGATTGGTCAATTTTCTAAAATCTTAAGTCTTAAGTCTCATTATAGACGTCGCTTAAGGTCTAACGGGGGGCTTTAATCTCATAAAAATTTACTACTGAAGGGACCAAATAGTTGTTTATTTTGAATATTAAAAGCACTAACACAAACTGTGCTTTTAATACTCAAAATAACGATTTATCAAGCTAGAATCGTTACACCGGCATTTCGTTGGATGTAAACATCCACATTGGACGGCGGGTATTCTCTTCTGGACGCGGACAATACCCTTAGTACAGAAATTTGATGCACTAAAGGGGCCAAATAATCGTTTATTTTGAATATTAAAAGCACTAACACAAACTCTGCTTTTAATACTCAAAATAAACAATTATTTGGCTCCTTTAGCGTATTATATATATTAAATTTCTATAGGGGTACTGTTCGCGTCCACCAGAAGAGAATATAACCCGCCGTTCAATGTGGATGTTTGCGTCCAACGAAATGGCCGGTGTAACGATTCTACCTTGATAAATCGTTGCTCGTTGGCCAAGAGCCACATATTATGTCGATAATATCGCGATACCACCGTCGATAGCGCCGCGAAATAGAAATATCGCGACGGGTCTGTGTGTGCATGTATGTGTGTGCACGCGGAGTTATGCCATATTACAGATTATTATGCAACGCGCGCGTATTGACGCAATTCAGATCCGATTGCAAGCACAGACCGATCCATGGGAAATCTTGAATTACACGTTTTATATATCGGCTACCACCACCACCGCCGCCATCGCCGCCGTCGCTGAGGGAATTGAAAGGGCCGCCGTGACTGCGATTACATTAATTTCTTCGCTTATGATAATGGTACAGGGCGGCCTTGTGCTCGTAAATTTTCGTTTCATAACCGGAGAGGAATTACATATTGACACGGTTGGCGAGTCCCGGCTGCGCCACGAAACGGCTAGATTTACATTTTGTTATGCCGCCGCGTCTAACGATACAGGGTGTATCGAATAATCGTGCCCACGGAGAGTCGCGGGGTTTTTTTTTTCGAGAAACATGAAAGTTCTTAATTGATCTGAATGTTCGAAAATCGATCTCGTGCTCAGAAGTAGAGTTACCTAGGATTCTTTAAAATTAAATCGAGAGAGAGAGAGATATTTCTGTAGGAAGAAAAACTATCAGTCTTAATTTTCGAAGCCTAATTTCCGAGAAAATTAAACATTAAACATTAAATTATTAAACATTAATTGTTTTTAATATGTAATACTTTAATGTTTAATTTTTAATATCTAACAATAAATATTAAGCCATCGAAGATTGATCTCAGTTTCTGTCCGGGAACCGGACACTTGCTTTCGATTTGTATGAAAATGCTCTCCGGTAACATTTTATATTCTTGACGTTTCGAAAACATATCCCCCTTCTCCTCTTCCCTCGAACGTCGTTCAAAAGATACAGTTTTACCCGGTAGCCGTGAACGCAAGGGTGGCAAATGTTTACGATGCCCCCGTGGGGTGCGAGAGAACGGCGTGACTCAGCGGCGACTATGGGGATGACGTAACAAGATGAGAATTTTATGGTCTTTTAGGAAAGACGGAGAGCAGCTCATGCAGTTATCTCCAAAAATCTTTTTTCAGTTCTCTCATCATATCTTCCACTTTTGATTCTCTATTTATATACACGTTGGAGAAGAAGCTGAAGAAAGGAAGCTATACGCATTCTTAGAATTGAGCGGTGACCTTTCGGAGTCAAATGATATACGATCATTTTTAATTCGCGAATGTCCTTGTTCATCTTGCAAATAAGGAAGCCTCTTAATTTTTTTCAAAATGCCGTAACCGCATTTAAAATGCAGAATGAAACAGTAAAAAATAATCCAGAATAATAATAACATAATACGTATTACGTATTAATAATAATATATATAATTTATTATAAATAAAAATTAGAATGGTAATATCTTTATTGAAATGCAGATGTTTTACATAATAAAGATAAATATGATAAAGAACAGTATTTCAAGAAGCGAGGCATCATCAATGGTGCTGCTTGTGCATTAAGTATAGATTTTTATAATATAGCATTAATAATCTATTACATAAATTTAATATAATATAATAATATATTATAATAATCTTTAATATAATTGATATAATATATAATAGAATAGTAATAAAGGCAAATTATACGTGAAAATATATAAGACTTTAAATAGAAGCAATGTCACGGATTTTCACGGAATGTGTCAACAAAGAAATCGGCCGAAAAGGCTCTCGAATAAATTTGAAGAATTATAGATGAAACAAACGATGAAACAACGCAAGACTTCGTTTCGAGATCGCCGAGCGAGATTGCGAGGCGAATTACATAGGCGGGGGGGAGGGGCGAAAGTGCGGGGCGACCGCGTCAGCCGTGAATTCTCATTCTCTCGCAATTCTCGACGCGAGATCACGCGGAGGATGATTGTACATGGCACTTTTCCACCTGTACGAGCGACAAAAGTGCGCACCCGTTATAGCTCGTGACGGGACGGCCTGTCGTGACTGTCGTGCTTACGCAACCCGGGGCAACTCTCGGGGCCCCGATTTAAGCGCCGGAATGTCCATCGCGATACTCCGTTCGACGTCAGCCTCCATTCACGCGTCTCTCGCACGCCCTGTCATCCACAGACCGGGGCCGCGGCCACCTCGCATTGTCCGCGTTCGATTCTCGACGATCACCGCGTTTCGTCGCGTCGACGCCAACGAGACGCGTGTCTCGCGTAAAAGTCGTAGCGATATCGCCTCCTCTAATCGTTTTTACCGCGATAACAGCGTAAAAGAGTACGTGGTAAGGTACAAAAAAGTTTTCGGGCCAAGGATACGAAAAAAGGTGATAAAATGAAACTTTTATTTTACAAAATACATCACTCTTTATTTTAATAAATGTTTTAGAACGATGAGTTTTTTTTTTTTACACTATTAAAATATTTTGAATTTTTGTCTTTATATGTCCTACTAAAATTATTTTGAATTCCGTCCTTAGAGTGGTTTAATATTGCGAAAATCATTTTATTATTGCCGGTAAATTTTTTCCTCGCGTATCCATCTTTAATTTTGGACATTGTTTATTTTCAAGTTTTAAAACAATTTTAGGATAAAAATTCAGGAATATCATTTTGGCGACATAGAAAAATTAATCATCGTTTTAAAAAACTTATCAAAATAAAGCTTGAATTTAACGAGAAATAAAAATGGTTGTTTATTTTATCACCTTTTCATATCCTTGGGCCAGAAACTTTTGGACTTTACTACGTATAAGTATTGTGTGATAAAGTTATAAAAAGAAATATCTGAATTCTAAATATAAAATGTATTACAGGGAGTCTAGTTATTTTCTTTTATCTTTTTTTATAACTAAAATTGATTGCCTGCTTGTTATTGTATAAACAGTATAAATATACTTTAAATTAGGCCAAAGGCGAGCAGATGTTCAAATTCAATTGAAACATCTACATTTTGCTCGTCTTTGGCCTAATTTAAAGTTTATTTGTATCTTTTTTATATATTTGATCTTTTATAGAACATCACGTAAGATGAATATGACGGAAAAGAGCAAAAAGAATGAGAGATAAAAGAGTTTATGTTTCAATTGACGATAGCAAAGTGAGGAATGTTATAAATTATGGTTTTCACGTATTGAACGGCCGTTCTTACACGATCCGTTGGTAAAGCTGCGAGTTGATCTCAACATATATACTGGTGACTCCATCTGTTGACTGTAAATGGAAACGTCAAATGTTCACACTCCGATAATTAAGCGCACATTATTTATAATCAACGATAATGGTATTAGCAATTGCGTCATGTTAATTATCGCACCGCAATAATATCGAAGAGAACATTGTTTTTCCCCGTGCGATCTTCAATTTGAATTTACGATGAACGAAAACATGAATCAATCCTCGTTTGCTTATTTTATAAACATATTTATTTGTATAAGGAATCAAATTTAATGTAAAATTATTGATTTAAAGCTGTTCAACAGTTAATTAACTTGATTAACTTTTCTTGAAAATCTGCACTTTGATATTCACTTTTTGAAGTAATCCATCGCGAAATACTGCATTTTTAGTTTTTCCTCTCCATTTTGCGTTCCATTATTTTAAGACTATTCCTTTTTACGGCTTACGGAAATTACGGGTGAGGGCCGCGCGGGCCATTCACTTTCGTTCTCCGGGGTGGTTGTACCTCCGTCGACATCAACAAACACCGACCGCCGCTGTGTCGCTGAGGGGTTGAAATCCCCGGCAGTGCGCAGCCGCGCTGACCGCTGTCCACTTCTCTCTCTCTTCCTTAGAATTCCCCGGATTATTTCCCTGGTGCTTATACCCCGTGCACGACGCCCGGGTGTACCTACCTGTTCTATTCCCTGCAACGAAAGTGAGGTGACGCGCCGTGTGCCGGCGATCGGGGCAAGTTAAGGGTTTACCCGCCAACATTTCGCGATCAACCGGCAAAATAAGGGGCTCCAGGGTGGCGAACGGTGAACCGAGTGAGTATATATATGTATATATATATATATATATGTATGTATGTATATATATATATATATATTTCGTCCCTCTTCCGCGAGCGAGCGCGCGCGCTCTCCCGGGGTCGCGGGCTCCTCTCGGCAGGGTCCACCCTCCCGGGCGTGAATCCGCGCGCGCTCTCTCACTCCCTGCCTCAGATCTCCCGAATCTGCGTAGCGTGTGCCAGCGTCGCGTCTCAATCTCTCGGGGTGGATCACCCCGTCCGCGTCGCGCGGTGGAGAAAACGGAAACTGTGTTAATTCTCTGACTGGATAGAGAAAGGCAGGGAAAGAGAAAGGAACTGTGAAGTCCTCACCTCGAGTCGCAATACTTTTTTTCTCCGTCGTAAGTTGTAACAACCGAGACCGATGTGATTAAGAACGAGGAGTAGTCGGAATAGATTCGCGGAAATAATTGATGACGGCGGGCAGGTAATTCGATCGCGGCCGAGCTCCACTTTGTGTCTTTGTTTGACACATAAGCGGCGCGTCATGTGTAATGGAGGCATTCATTATTAATCCGCCGAGAATCGCGTGGGTTTTTCTCCCTCCCCCTCCTTCCCCCTGCGAAGTGGAAGTTTTGCGTTAACTGAAAAAACCCGGTAGCAAAAGTCCTGCGGACGAGAGGAGGAGGAGGAGGAATCGGAAGCGTCGAGGACTTTGATTTCTCGGTAAACCGAAACTTTTTCGCGAGTCGATAATCGCGCGAAACGACAAAGCGCGGACCGGACGGTACGACTGTTCGGGGGAGGAGGGAGTGGGTGGACTGGGGCGATAGATACGATCTGCAACTTATTTCCTGCTAGGTAAGTAGGGCAAAGTCGCAGTGTCGCGCAATTTAACGTCTACGTCGGTTTCCTATCTAGACCCTCCGCCTTTGCACCCTGCAATCCGTGTGATTTTTTTCAAATCCGTCGAATAGCTATTTCCTTTACTTCTGCAGTCGCGCGATATTTTTCTCTCGAAAGTGGAGGGAAACAGGTGTTTGCCTCTCCCTCCTCTCATGATTTTGCTCCGTAAATTAAGTGTGACATCCGCGTCGTTCAGATCTTTATCTGAAGTTTCTCAAAGTACGAAATCTCTCTTTCAGTTTATCCGAGATATTCTTTTTTTAATTTAACAAACTTATGTCGTACGATAAGTGTGTACCTATGCGATTTTTTATTCTTTGAGAAGTTTTTCGTTTTTTTTTTTTTATTTAATCGAAAGGTACGACGTCGAATAATTAATTGATCGGAAAAAATCGCCGGAGCGGCGACCGACATACACGGGTCGTCCTACGCGAAGGGCGACGTCGCGACGCCACACGTGCCGACGTATATAAAAAAAAATCCGCGACCTCGCCGTAGAATCCCCGCTATAGAATCCCCGCGGCCGAGAGTGCAACAGTTTGAAGTCAAGGCGAGGGGAGTTGTGAAAGTTGTAGTCCCGTCGCGTCTCGAATCGATACCAACGATTACCGGAAGGTTCGCGCTATACGTAAATATCCGTTCCTCCCCTTCTCGTCCCGCGTTATTCGGTCGCGAGATCGGCGGAGGCGCGCGTCGCGCGTCGTAAAGGCGATCGCGCACCCTTGATCGCAACTCTTTTGTCCACCTCCTCCTTCTTTTCTCTCGATCGGAGGGAGCGCGGGGGCGACAATTTCGCTCGCCTCCGTCGCCGCAGCCAGTGTAGCGCGCGAATTTATTATTTAACAGGAATAATCGATGGCTTATGGATACGTGTACCCCCGGGGTACCGTATCCCTCGCGATAGTCGTCATTTTCGCGATGGTGACGCGCCGCGTGGCAGGGCAAGTCGCCGCTCGTCCTCGTCCTCGTCTGCCGCCGCGTATCGTCGGCGCGGCACGGTGAAGTCGCGAGAAAATCCTCCCGGGCTCGCGGGAAACGGGAAAGCGTGAAGGGCCGGGCTCCGTTTACTCTCCTCCCCTGCGGCGGTGAATCATGCTGGCGAGGGTCAGGAACAGCCTCCACTGCGGCATGCCGAAATGCCCGTCTATACGTATTCCAGGAATGGAGAAGCCGGAGTCCTCCGCGGAGGGGGGCGAGAGCACCGGGGAGCTCGAGGACCGGGATCCCAACAGCCTGAATCAGCATCTTCAGGTAACTTGGAACCGCCTCGCAATCGCGATGTTTGCGATGCATCGCAGGGCTCGTGCTTGTCTTCGCGAAATTTTGCACGTTACTGAAAAGTTAATAATGATACGGTGGCATTTTTTTTTCCTTTTGATCGACCAAAGCGAACGGCACGCATCTTTGAAGTTGCTTTAATTCCCCAGTCACATGATGAGCCATCATCTCTTCTCCTATAAAGCACGCAATGACCTACATATCGCATAAAGCCTCTTATCAAAACGCATCGAAGATCGAGGATTGCTCAAATTGGATATTATAATTTAATTAATCAGAACGAAACGGAATAAAATTAAATTACTCTAATCTTTTTTTTAATTACATAATCTAATCATTGGAAGTAGTGACTAATCGCTTTTTTAATTTTTCCTATTTTGAATTTCTGGATTTTTGAGTATTTTGTTGGATTTCTCGTTTGTCGGATCGAAAACCGCAACGAAAATTACTTTATTTCGCGGAAATAATTGAGAATCGATACGGTCAACGACGTAGACTAATGGGAACTTTCGGCTGACTATCACATCGCTCGCATCGCGTTTTACCCGCGACAAAATAACGACCGCGCTTTATCCACTGTACTCTATCACTCGCACCGCCCGACGCACCGAATTTTTAATGGCCAAAGCGCAATCGATATATCGATTACACGGATTGCCGAGCGTCGCATGTACGCATCGTTTTACGCAGGTGATGTGGGACGACGTGATCGGCGAGCCGGAAGGGATCCGGAGCCCCGAGTGCGCCTGGCGGCTCAGCGGCCACTGCTTCCGGCTCTCCAGGGGATGCTGCTACGTGCTCCTGTCCGTCCTCATAGCACCTCTGTTCGCCCTGCTTTTGGGCTTCACGTTCGCCTGCCTCGCGTTCCAGGTGAGACCCGACATTCCCCCTCCCCGCCCCCTCGTCGCGCGTGCGTTTCGTTCTCTTCGATTTCCACCGATCGATCTCGCGGGGAATCCCACTCGTGTATCACGATGCACCGCGAGCGGAATACGTCACGCCATAAATAGATTGGTCCACGCGGAACGAGATAAACATGATTAGAACGTGATTAATCATTTTTAATTTAAAGAGAATTTGACTTAATAAAAATTGAATGTTTTCTATTTATTAATTCTATTAATATATCTATTTTTGATATAAATAATTACGTTTAATATCGATAGTTGTAGAAATTTTATACCTATTTAAGAACAATTAAAATGAAATGGACAATTCTTCTGTCCTTCAAGATATATGTGAAATTGGAGACGAATTTGAATTTTTCCTCGAGTTTTTCCGACGACGATCGGGAAGCGAGCGCTTTTCGTTCCCTTGAATTTCGACGGTAAACAGCTCGTCTCATTCGAATTCCTCTATTCATTATTGTTCCTTGCAGCATATATGGTGCATCGCGCCGTGCCTACGCGTGTGGAAGATCACGTGCGCGGCAGCGCGAAATTTCCTGTCGGCGGTGACGCAGGCGATCATACGGCCGGTGATGGAGGGGTTGGGTTACCTCTGCTACAACATCCGCGTGTTCAATCAGAGGCTACCGGACGGCCCGATGCAGAAGGAGGACCTGCTGGTCGTGTAATCCGGCGATCCCTGCAGCTCCGACCCCTCGGCCGCCCCGTCGCCGTGCCGGATTTGTCGCGCGCGCGACAGCGGCCTTCCGCTTGTCGCGTCAGTTTCCGCGTCCTTCACGAACGCAAGCAGATCGCCGCGACGCGTTGCGGTCGCGCAAGCCGTGCTGGGCGGTAGTGCTGTTAGCGTTGTTAGAGTTAAGCGACGAGAGAGAGGAGGTGTTTAATTAAGCTTAGGGATAATCCGCGAGACGCGACGCGTCCAAACGCGGGATATATCACGAGCGAAACACGCTATAATTTGTTGTGTAGGATAAGGTGGCGCAATTTCGAACACGGTACAATTCTGAACGAAATAACATTTGAATCGAATTCATGTTTGATAATTCCGATCTTATTATATGTGGAGGGATACTATAGAAACGAAAATTGGATTCGAATCTTATTTCGTGCGGAATTGTACCGCGTTGTGAAACTACACCCACCTTAAGCGGCGTCTCTACAATGAGACTTGAAACTTAAAATTCAAAAAAATTGACAAATCATAATCGGTTATTCATCTCACGTGAGAAGAATGATCGATTGTGATTTATCAATTTTCTTAAATCTTAAGTCTTAAATCTCATATTGTAGACACCGCTTTACGCTACGTAAATATCTTAGTATGCGAGCGACGCCGACGGTCTTAAGACGGGCGAGGAGGATACCGCGACATGCGCGCATCGCTCCTGGTAATCGGGGCAGTATATTTTTACAGCTCTCGGTCACATAATGTCGCGTCAAAGAATTTTTTTTCCGTTAAACTGTCTGCAATATAGCGTGCAACCGGCCGCCTGTTAAGTGTGTAAAGATCTTGCCGCGTGTGCCGACCTTGTAGGGAGTATAATAATTTTAAACTCGTGCGCATGTCTCCGGGGTGGACGCAGATCGGGAGTTAAGGAGCTCGAGTAGCCATTAGGCTTTATAGTCGATACTTCACGCGGGTCGGCCTTTTTGCTGCGCGTGTCCACCTTTTGTCTCGTCCGCTCTTGAATCCCGAGACGAAGAAGACTCGATGTCGCACTTCAACAGGCGCGGGGATGAATTATTCGCGTGGGAAGGGATCTGAATACGCGTGCGGCCGTCGGGTGTGCGTTCGCCGTTCAATAAAATACTAATCTAAAATATCAATTGAAATTCTAATCTAATTGAGAATGTAAATTATTAATGTAAATTGTTAACGAAAAAAATGCATACAAGGAAAGCAATAATTATTAAGAGGTTATTAAATTATATACATATATTATATATATATACATATATAAATATGTAAGAGAAGTATGTGTTTACTGTGTCGTGTCGAAAGCAAAGAACAGTTTAGTCCAAGACAAAAACTCGTCCACTTAACTTCTGTACAATCGTACAATTAATATTAACGCAATTGAATGTTTTTCTGATAAGGTAACACAGTGCTGTCGTACTTTCAATACTCTATGTTTGTGGTGTAAATTTTTATGGTGTAAAATCATCGTTGTCATCCTGTCATTTTTTTTCCCCGTTACATTCTCGATCTTTGTAGACTGTAATGTAGACGATATTCGCGGAAGATTGCCCGCAATATCGAAACTTAGAAGCTGTACATACGAAAATCTTCTCTGTAAGAGAACTTTTACAAATAAAATGTACAACCTACACGAGAAAAGTATCTTCACGATTTTGCGCTGCGGTGACGCAAAGCGTTTTCAGATAACTAGCTGTCATTTTAATGTCAAACATAACAATTTTGATGATATCATTTTAGCATCAGAATGACGACAAATGTCAATTTGCTACTCGGGTTAAAAGTCTTTATAATTCGAGCGGTGAAAATTACACGCGGTAGGAAATGGCCGTTCGAATTTGCCTCCAAATTGCTGTCGAGCCAATCACGGCCAATCATCGCCAAAGCCTCATGACACTGTCGACAACAGCTGACTAGTCGTCGGCTGCTGCGTAATCGCGCGGCGAATTCTACCGACAGTAGCGAATGAACATATATATTGGGATACTTATTAAAAATCTCGCGATCGCTCGGTGTGAACGCGCCTTCAGGCGCGACTGATAAGGGGGCTCTTTTGGAGAACAACAAAGTGGTTTCATCGCTATCATCAGTCGTTGCTCAACATGGCGAGCCACATGCAGAAATTGTTGTTGAGAGCCGGTCGTTTGTGCCGCGTTAATTCCACGAGGCGTATCCTTTGAAAATCTGTCGGGGAGTTGACCGACTTTAGGACTCTTAGGAGATCGTGTTCACTTTTTGTTGAGTCGTGTGATCGTATCAGAACTCGTCATATTCATCCTTAAATCTTGATCAGAGATCTCCGCCTCCGCCGCGCTCAGAGGAAGACGTAAGTCACACTTAATTTTAGATCAATATCTCTAAGTATCAGGCAAATAAAAGGCAAGATAGCTTCTTAATCGCGACCTGATTTGTACTGATCTGTACTGATGATCTACAATCTTGACGTAAAATGTAGATAGATGGTAGCACAATGCAGAGGCGCGATTCTACTCAGCCGGTAGTTTGTTCTATCGACGTTACGTGATTTTGCTATCTCATCTTTACTGATAACTGATAAAAGATATTTACCGTTTTATCGTTACATCATTTATGTAATATTACATAATATATACATCCGTCTTTATTGAATTCTATATAAAAATGAGCAATTCGTGAACAAAAAAATTAAAATATTGTCTTGGAAATTAATTCAAGCAGCGCGCTTTAATTAATTTTCATTTTCGATCGGTCTCTTATCGAAAATTTTTATTGAATCTCGTGGGTCAGCCGCCTTCAATTGGGAGGATCCGTTTGATCTGGAGTCGCAACTGACGCAGGACGAGATCCTGATGAGGGATCAGTTCCGCGCCTACTGTCAGGAGCAGCTTTTGCCGCGCGTGATCGAGGCGAATCGCAAGGAGCACTTCGACCGGGGGATCATAAGGCAGATGGGCGAGCTCGGGGTGCTGGGCTGCACCATGAAGGGCTACGGCGCCGCCGGGGTGTCCTCGGTGGCTTACGGGCTCCTCGCCCGCGAGATCGAGAAAGTCGACAGTGGTTATCGATCCGCGTTATCGGTGCAGTCCTCCCTCTCAATTGGCGCGATCTACATGTTCGGCAGCGACGCGCAAAAAGAGCGATTTCTGCCTAAAATGGGTGCGTGCAAGCGTCTCTTAGGGCTGGTTTGGCGCTCCCTAGTTTAATTTTTAAATATTTTAATTGTTCAAGAGGATTACGAGATTTTATAATTTTTTGCACGGGAAAATATTCAACTATTTATTTCCGAAGATTACGAAAAACAAAACGATGAAATGAAAATGAAGGATTTAATTTAATTTATTAATTTTATTTAATTTTTATTTATGGCAATTAGAGCGACAGCAGATTAATTGACAAAATTAGTATAAGTTCCGCTAGTGAAGTTGATTAAACGGCGATTACCGTTGAAGCCGCGGGCGATAGCTTTCGAAGTGTATTTCAGTGTCCGGGGAAAAGATCGGCTGCTTTGGCTTGACGGAGCCCAATCACGGTAGCGACGCAGGAGCCTTGGAGACTAGGGCCGTTTACGATTCCGACAAAAAGGTCTACAAATTGAACGGCAGCAAAACATGGTCAGTTCTCTCGAGTACTCGTCGCCGTTTCTTTCGCGATCGAACGTAGAAGTCAGAATTTGTTTGAATCTCGTTTAGGATCACCAACTCGCCCATCGCCGACGTGTTCGTGATATGGGCGAAATGTGACGGTCAGATCCGCGGGTTCATCATCGAGAGGGAAGCTGCGGGAGATCGGCTATCCACTCCGAAGATCGAGGGAAAGTTTTCCCTAAGAGCGTCCACCACCGGCATGATCCTGATGGACAACGTAATCGTGCCGGAGGAAAATTTGTTGAACGTTCAGGGACTCAAAGTAAGTCTTTCCAGGAAACCGGAGGGGACTTACGATTTTTAAAGACATAGTTGACTCTAGCAGATTTCAAATTAACGCAACCAGATTCTTTTTTCAATGTACAATTAAATATTTTTCTCACAATCAGTATATAAAAAACGGGACAATCACGTGTATAATTTTGCGATCGCAATTTCTGACGTAACTTAAGATATCTAATAAAAAGAAATGATAAAGGGACCATTCAGTTGCTTAAACAACGCACGGTATGGCATCGCCTGGGGTGCGTTGGGCGCGGCGGAGACGTGCTTGAATGTCGCTCGAGCTTATACCCTCGAGCGGAACCAATTCAAAAGACCGCTGGCGGCGAATCAGCTCGTGCAGAAAAAACTGGCTGACATGATGTGCGACATCGCGATCGGTCTCCAAGCTTGCCTGCGAGTCGGTAGACTGAAGGACGAGAATAGGTAAAATTTGCTTGAACTCGCGCAAAATAAATGAAAATCCAAATCCGTTTCCGAAAAATTAACGCAACATTTTATGACTCTTCTGGAAAACCGATAATATTTTAATATTCCCAGATTAATCATTCTTTTTTTTCGCGGAGATATTATTATATCATATATTTATGATATATAATATATATTATACATTATGGCTACAGTCTATTTGATACTACAAATGCTTTTTTGAAGCGAGCTTCTTTAATTAGTAATTATTTTATATATAAAAATAAAATTTTTTCTTCGGATTGATCAATCAAATGCTTTGAAGCATTTATACTTTATAGCGTTAAGACCTATTAAAAGTATCTAATAATATATAATAATATGTATATATCATAATTATATGTATATAAATTTATTATAATATGTTGTATATTATGTACGTTATATTAGTGATATAAAAATATAATATATCGCTAATATATATAACGTACAATCACGTGTGTATAACGTGCGCATGTAAGAAAAGCAAGAAATGATTTTGCGTGCCGTATAGAGCCGCGCCGGAAATGATCTCCATTATAAAGAGAAATTCCGCCATGAAATCGCTGGAGATCGCGCGTGTCGCGCGAGATATGCTGGGCGGAAATGGGATCTCGGACGAGTACCACGTGATCAGGCACGTGATGAACCTGGAAACGGTGAACACTTACGAAGGTACGCGAGGACCGGTCCCGGGAAAGGATCGGCGATCGTTTAGCAACTTTAGCACGTTGTTACCGGATCGCGTCATTCGAGACTGTATGTTTTCATTTCTTCTTTTTCTCTCTCTCTCTCTCTTTTACAGGTACAAATGATATTCACGCGTTGATTCTTGGGAGGGCGATCACCGGTATCGCCGCGTTCTCGGGATAAGCGACTCAAGTGTCCGGAATGATAAGACTGTCTTTGTACACAACACGCCACGTGCCACTCGATTTTCATATTTACAAGCGGTTCGACACGCTCGTCGTATATTGTCAATTCAATTTCTTTTTCGCCTCTACGATGATCAATTATTTTTTTACAACGGAAATTCCTTTTGTACATTTCGATGTATTAATAATGTATACTGAAATGTGTATCGAATAGCTGAAAATTACTTTTATCTCTTTCATGAAAGGTAGAGGTTCTAATAAATTGTATCACAAGAAAAAGATGAGATGAGAGATATGTGTGCCCTCCTGCCTCTTCTGTCCTTCTGGTACCATCCTCGCATAGCTGCGCAATTTTTCACCCTCTGTGTTTCAGATCGCCGCGCGTCTCCGTCGCGAATAAGATCACTCGAATTACACTTTATTGCTCGTTTATTCTCTACTTTACGTTTTAACAATTTCATGGTGTGTGCTCTCGTTCACTATGCGCCGTATCACACTCGCTCTCACCCCTCCTTGTACCCCGCCGTTCATTCCGCACGTTCACTCGCCCATGATAGTGCTGTGCACGCGTGGCACTCGACGGAAAACGGTCGCGCAAAGAAAAATTTCCCTTCGTTCTCTTCCTTTTATTCTTCCTCGGGATCGATCTCCGGACGATTTAGCGATTCGCGCGATCCCGCGGGATCTCTCTCGGCGCGGCCAAGATCAACCTTCATGAGGTCGCGTCTCAAACGAAACGCGCTCCTCGAATGCCTCCGAAGAGGATTCCATATTAAAGCTTAAAAAAAAAACGCGAGCCGTCGTGAAGCCCGCGTTAGACGCATTGAAGATCGGAGGATCGCAGAAAGAATTCGATCACAATCGGGATCATAATTCCTATTTTAATTTTAATTCGTTTTGTTCCGATTGAATTCCAATCGCCAATTTGCAATTCTCCAGTGCGTAGTCTGATACGGGCTTGAAACGGTGTTACAATGGCGTACTTGCCGCGCGTGTCGGATACTTTCGCGATTGCACGAAAGAACGATTTTATCGAAATATTTAAAATTTAGCGTACGCGGACCTGAAAATAATTTTGTTGGACCACCAAAATAATTGTGTTCGAAACTCAAATGCGATGAAAAATTTTGCAAAAAATTTTAACCAGCAATCAATTTGAGCTTCCAACGTAATTATTTTGATGATGTAACAAAATTATTTTGTTGCGTCCAGTAAATATTACATATTAAATATTCAGCGAAAATATTCCTTCCCTTGTGAGATCGCGAGATCATGAAAACTGAACACCCGCGCGATCGTTAAGGGGATCAAGAGAAGCGATTAAATAACGACATCTCCGAAGGCGCGCGCGTCCGTAACCGGTGAAGCGGTCCGGCAGAATTCGAAGAACACGGTCGGATGCTTTATCGTTCAGTGGTCCAATTTATTAATTTAAAAAAAAAACGCGATAGGATCGATATATTAATTTACAGATCGTGCTTCTTTTCGTCTTCTCATGATCTTAGATTAATCAGCCGCGTAATGTACAATGCCGACATTCCTCATTCGCGCCTTCTTTCTCTCTTTCTCTTTCTCTCTCGTTCATTCATTCTCACTCACACACTCTCTCTCTTTCTCTCCCGTTCGATCTAATAACTAGGTCTTCGTATAAATATAATATGTATCTATATATCTATGTATAAGTGTCCAAGTGCCTTTAGACTAATCTGATACTAAATGAAAATATAAAAATCTATACGTCAGAGCTACGGTTGCTTATTTATTTAATATACGACGCCGGGTGGCCCGCGGGTCTCCTCGCGAGACCGCGAGCGCGGCCGCCCACACGCCACGGGTCTCGCGACTGTTCGCCGATATATTGTGTGTGTTATATCACAAATAAGCGCCGCGTGCGGCCGAACACGCGGCAGGAAAATTCAACCGAAACGGCTCCGCTCGAAAGGAAAGCGTGAAAGTGACGAGGCGAGTGCATCCCCACTCTCTCCGTGATGCTTCCCTCGTTGTTTCGTTAATAATTCTTCTAGCAACACTTGTCTAAAAAGCATAAGCGCGCAACTGTCGCAAGCGTCTCCTCGTTTGCTCCACGGAGTCTCTTGAAAAAACATTTAGTCACTTGTAACTAAATCAAATGACTAGAAATTACTTTCACTAAAGAAAAAAATATAGGTGCATCTGCGTATAAATATTCTGTCGTCATTTAATATTCTAATTAATTAAATTATTAGTTGCTTAAAAGGCTCTCGAAAGGCCTTGGTATAAACGAAAATCAATTGTTGGCAGTTAAGTGATTAACAACGGCGAGATATAAAAGCTTCGAGATCATCTCGATCATTTTTCACATCACTCGCTGCCAAATCATTTTCAAACCGCCAATTGCTTTTTTTCCCTCCTGAAATTTCATTCTTTACTTGGACTGATTTCCATTAAAAATTTTATTATGACTTGACGGACTCGTAATTTTTTTCCTGAGCACTTCAGGAAGCTTAAGGGAATGCAATTCTTGTGCTGCGACGGTACGGACCGCTCTAAAAACTTGCAAGATATAGCAAAACAAATAGGATCTCCGTCCTCGCAGCGTTCTAAACCACAAAGCGCGATCGTATATAGTTGCCTTTTCGATCGCCTAAGCTCTAAACGATCGTCTCCGATTGCACACGATCCGCAACAACACAACAACAAGGGCGTCAACACAAGCGACTCGAGTAATCATAAATAAATTAAGTTTAATTGCTAAGTAATAAAACGTTAATTACATATGTCAATGATAATTAATTTAAGTTTACAACACACGTCTCGTGCAAAAGTGTAAAGAACGTTTGTCTTTTTTTTTCTTTTTTTTCGTGCTACACTCAATACCATTGTTGTCTTTTGTTTTTTTTCTTGTTACGACTTAATGTTGCGTGTATGCGCGTTTCTTGTGTGTGTGTGTGTATGTGTGCGTGTGCGTGTGTTCGCACACGTGTGTATGTGTTGTGTGTGTCTGTCCTGTGTGTATTTAATGATTCTCGACTACAATAAGCTCTTGGTAAAACGTAGTAACATTGTAGTTTACAGTAGTTTACAATCGCCTCACTCCTCGCGGCCCCCGATCGCGGATGCGTATAATGTGTGTGTGTCATGCGTGTGTCTATTACATAATTACACATCTCGGTACACATGCCGGGATCGAATTGTCGCCCCCCTCTCGTTCCCGCACTCGTTTTTATTTTTCTTTCTCTTTCTTTCAAATCGTCGAGAGGAGATTCGCCTCCTTCCCCGCGGCTCTTCCGATCCGCGCGGATCGACGGATCGGGCGAGGGGGGAAAAAAAGAGATTTCGCGGGGCATTCGGGGAGGAGGAGAGGAAGGGGAGAGGGGGATGCGTCTCTTACAGAGAGTCGCGAGTTCGATCCCGTCATCTTCACACAAGTATCGATCGTCGGCCCGTCGACCGCGCAAGAAAATTCTCAATGGCACGAACCGCGAACCCCGGTCGCAACAACAGCGTCGCTCGGGTTCGTATTAACCACGCTCTCGGTTGCCTCTACTAACGGATATACGTAATCGTATAAATAAATTAATGACTCGCCCTCTCTCTCTCTCTCTCTCTCTCTCTCTCTCTCATCCTCGCAATTTCGCTCGACTTATATACGCGCACACACACACGCGATAGACACTCCCGATCGATTCTCCTGGCGCTCTCCTGCCGGCGTTAACACCCCAAACCCGGGGAATTCTCGCTCGTGTGACATTCTCGTTGCCGCGCTTTCGTCGACGAAAGTATTAAATACCGCCTTTCAATCGCCGTCGTTCGCGTATACACTTTCCTCCCCGAACAGTCAGTTTCACTGCCGTTTATATATACGAGGTGGGACTCGCCGGGCGCGAGGTGTTAACCGCGATTTCTTCGGTGGTTCGAGTTTACATCCTTTCGCAGGAACCCTGCTTGCTTGCCTTCACTCCCGAGGAATGGATTATGACAACGAAGCGATCGCTCACCTTTCTCTCACTCTTTCTCTCCCTCTCGCGACTTGACGCGCGCGGTTTCAACTCCTGTACTCGCGAATCAACGTACGCTGTCCTTCGTCCACGCTACGATTTCTTTTTTTTTTTTTTCCTCGAACTTCCGACCGGAGCCCCGACACACGTGTTGTCCTGCGCCGACTGTGCGGACTGCCGTCCACTCTCCCATGTTACATCCGGAGAGTGGACCGGGCAAGTCCCGCGCGTTATACGTACGCCGCGAAAAACTCGCGCGTTACAATAAATATAATAATAATAATAATAATAATAATGTTATACCTGCTTTTGCACTTGTATTTTACATTATTTCGTCTCTGATTAACTAATCGATACCTTATTGTCGTACAAACTGCTCTCGTGTTTTCTTTCTTTCCTTCCTTGCTTCTTTCAGCTCCTTTTCGTCGCGTTCGAGAAGAAACCCCGCCATTCCGAGAACTTTTCGAGAAATCCCCCTTGCTTCGTCCCGTTTTCCCTCTTCTCTCTCTCTGTCTCTTTTTTTCCTTCTTAATTTTCGATTGTAATTTGCTTATGAAAAACCGGACGAGCCGAGATTAGCAGTCACAATATAGGTCGTATAATCTGTGCGTTCACTTTTTTCTCTTCTTCATTCTACATTCTGGGGATGAAAAATTCGAGTCGTGTTGCCTCCCCCTTTTAGCCTCGAACGGACGAAAGCGACTAGACTTTTCTCCCGCCCGAGAAAAATCGCGTCGAGCCTCTCTTCGCTTTTCTGCTGCTTCTCTCTCTCTCTCTTCTCCTTCCCCCTCCTCCTGCTGCGCTCTTTATTCCGTCACATTCTCGCCGAGTGTCTCTTATACCCCTTCCTGTCCGTGGAAAAACGAAGTGAAAATTCTCTGCGAGTGGGGTGGAAACTAGATCGATATAGACACCTAATATTGTACGTTGTCGTCGTCGATAGTTTCTAATCCACTGGATATGTGTCACGTAACGATGTAACTATCGAGACGAACCCCCTTCTCAGCGCAATATATAAATAGATCATCGAATTTTATTCTTTCGCACTCTCTTTTTTCTTTCTCTCTCTCTCTCTTTCTTTCTCGCATACACTTTCATGCACAAATTTAAGACGCGCAATAGTCGTTATCGATCGATCGATCGACTTGGAGATCGCTCGATAATCGCCTCCGCGACGATCAACACCGTCCGCCGTGATCGGCGGTAATAATATCCGTATTTTATATATATATGTATATATATAATATAATATATATATAATTTATTTATATACTTATGTCCATATTTATAATCATATTTGCA